GGGGTCAAGTGGCCCCAGTCCAACCCCAAATTCCTCTGTGCCGACTATGCTGAGCAAGATGAGGTAAGAACCCAAAGGAAAAGAAGGGCGGGTGGGGCAGGGGGGCCATGTTCTGGGAGAGCCCAGCTGAGACCCTGGCTAAACCTGAGTCTTAGGATCTGTTCTACACTCTTCTCCCTACCCCTTTGGTTCCTTTCACTGAACTGCAGGGCCTCAGAATACCTCAGTACCCCTAGTACTCAGACTCCTTCAATGAGTGATGTCACCCCCCTGACTGCCCTTGTCCCTCCTCTGCTCACAGCTGGACTATCACCGGGGCCTCCTGGTGGACCGCCCCTCTGAAGCGAAGACAGAGGAGCAAGGGGTACCACGGCCCCTGCACCCCCCGCCCCCACCCCCAGTCCAGCCACCACCGCACCCTCGGACAGAGCAGCGGGAGCAGGAGAGGGCAGTGCGGGAGCAGTGGGCAGAGCGGGAACGGGAGATGGAGCGGCGGGAGCGAACCCGAGCAGAGCGGGAATGGGATCGGGACAAAGTTCGAGAAGGGCCACGTTCCCGGTCTCGATCCCGTGACCGCCGCCGCAAAGAGCGAGCAAAGTCTAAAGAGAAGAAGAGTGAGAAGAAAGGTACTTCGCTGTGGAGCACACCTGACCCCTGGTTGGTGGGGTGGGGACCCAACGAGATGGTCAGAGGGTCTGACTCACTTCTTCCCCCTCAGAGAAAGCCCAGGAGGAGCCACCTGCCAAGCTGCTGGACGACCTCTTCCGGAAGACCAAGGCGGCGCCCTGCATTTACTGGCTCCCGCTGACCGACAGCCAGGTGAGCGCTCAGAGCTCGGGCCTCGCCAGAGTCCGCCGACAGCTCGCACGGAGGCCCAGACATGGGCTTAGATGGCGAGACGAGAGGCCCAGCGTCACAGAAGGAGGGGGCACTTTAGAGAAAGGTGTGGTGAATGTGCTGTGGAGAACCCAAACCCAAGAGGGGGCACTGGTCAGAGACAGCACTGAGGCCTGTGCAGAGCTGAGAAGTGAGCTGTATTGGCCAGGCTTCTTGGAACTTTTAATGAGCTGAGAAAAACATGTCTTACAAACCCCTACATTTCTTTGTTCTGATTTGTAGTTTTGGGGTTTGTGGTGGTTTACAGTTTTGTTGTCATTGTGTCTTCCCCTAGTATTGAAGATTGAACCTGAGGCCTTCACAGTGAGCCACAGACGTCCCCAGCCCTTTCTGTGATGGGGGGGCAGGAGTCTCTCCTTATAGTGCTAGATTGGCCAAGAGTTTAGGCCTTTTAAAATTCGGTTTCTTAACAGTGAGTCTTTCGCGAATTTTAGGCTTAAGCTACTCAGCTAAAGAAAAGAGATTTGTTTCCATCTAGAGGAACAGCAGGCTGGGCACGGGTGGGCCAGTACCTGTCACATGAGAGGCACCAAAGGACAGGTGCCATTATGGACCCTCTTGCCCCCTTCCTGCTTACCAGCAAAGCTGACAGCGATGCTGAGCCTGAGCGCAGGGTCCAGACATGATGGGCCAAGCAGGATGGCACAGGTGGGCCCGCGAACGCCTACTTCTACCCTTCCTTCCTTGGCTGCAGATTGTTCAGAAGGAGGCAGAGCGGGCTGAGCGGGCCAAGGAGCGGGAGAAACGGCGAAAGGAGCAGGAAGAGGAAGAGCAGAAGGAGCGCGAGAAGGAAGCTGAGCGGGAGCGAACCCGGCAGCTGGAGCGGGAGAAGCGTCGGGAGCACAGCCGAGAGAGGGACCGGGAGCGAGACAGGGACCGGGAGCGAGACAGGGGGGACCGGGACCGGGAAAGGGACCGGGAACGAGGCAGGGAGAGGGACCGCAGAGACACCAAGCGCCACAGCAGAAGCCGGAGTCGGAGCACACCTGTGCGGGACCGCGGTGGGCGCCGCTAGCTGGGGAACACTAGGAGAGCTGCAGGTACCGGCGCCGCCCCAGGGTCAGAGGCCACAGAGGGATAGGCACAGCCGCACCACCCCGACCCGCGGTCTTTCACACCACTCGCCCAGTGCAGAAGTATGACTGCCTCCTGTCCCCACACCAGTGGAGCAGTGGCCACCTTCGCCCCACACGTCCTCCTCGACCTGTCCCTGGGGGCGCAGCCGCCTCCCTCTCGGTTCTCATCACATCTGTGAGAGGGAGGAGCTGGCTTGTGGAGGGAGGTGGTTGGCCAGGGGCGGGAACGGCCACATGTCCCAGACTCTCTTCTCCCTGCCGGCCACTCACCGCCTCGCTTGGGAACAGCTGGGGCCAGGACTGGGTCACCTATGAGCTGAATCAGCGTCTCCTCCTGAGTCCCAGGGCCCCCGCGGTTCCCTCTTATCCTGCAGCCTTTGCCTCTTGCCCGCTGGTTCCACTTTATATCCACCTTTTCCTTTTGTTCAATTTTTATTTTTATTTTTTTTATTATTAAATGATGTGGTCTATGGAAAAAAATAAAAATCTGACTTAGTTTTAACTACCCGCGGAGTGGCTTTGCTTGGGAAGGGTTTGGGTGAGAAGCCGACCGGGAGAGCGCTGCGTGGAGCAAGCGTCGGGCACCCTGCACTCGGTCCCCTGCTGCCTCCCAGAGCAGAGGCGTCCCAGGCCCTGCGGCATCACTGCCTTGGCTGTAACCCCAAGTTTCTCTTCCTTCCTTGGGGGCCCCGGGGAAACAGGCGTCCTATCCCCAGCGGATAAACGGGTTGGCTTCTGCTTCCTGGTCAGGTGCGCGGGCGGCTAGTCACCTGCTCTGCACCGTCCAGGCGCTCCCCACGGCTGCCACCAGGGGGCAGCAGCGCCTCGCCCGTGGGTCTGGTAGAGCGGCTTCCCGAAAGGTTTTCTTCCCGCCGACGTCGCGCCTCGGCCCCTGACATTCCCTCGGCCCGGCCCGCGGGGTCCCTGGACCCATCTGCCCCCAGAGCGCACCCCACCCCAGCCTTGCCGCCACCGTGCCCTGCACGGGCTCCCAAGATGCCCACCGCTGCCCGAAAGCCAGCCGGGGAGGGGGGCGCCGGGTCTCCGCAGTGGGCTTCCGCGTCCCCGCTCCCGCGCGCGCCCCTCTGCCCCGCCGCC